ACATAAAAATTTAAATATATCACTTTAAATAAAAATTTAAAAATCACAGTTAAATAAAATTTTAAATTTAATTTAAATAACAATTTAAAATTTAATTTAAATAACAATTAAAATTTTACAATTTAAAGAAATTTTAATTTTAATTTAAATAACAATTTAAAATTTAAATAAAATTGAAAGAAAAGTTAAATTCTAAATAAAAAATTTAAATAAAATTTTTAAAATTTAAATTTAAATAAAATTAGAAGAAAACTTAAATTCTAAATAAAAATTTAAAGTTAAAATGTAAATAAATCAATTTATTGCAGGTAACGAAGACAGGCACATCCACACGACCAGTTTGCAGCACATAAAAACTGTGACTGATGAATTGAGGCAAAATGAAGAAAACCTGACACCTTCGCGGCCAGCTGAGAGGACCCGGCTGTCACGGCTACCGGGAGCCACCACAGGGGGCTCAACTCCTGAGCTGGAGGGACCCCAAGAGCCCACCTTCGAACAGGGAATCCTGAGAATGATGTCGCAGCAGGATGTGCGCGCTGAGATCTTCCTCAGGAGCTTTCTGCTGTGGTCGGACACCATAGAAATGGTGCGGGTGGCCGGGCACCCCAAAGTGTACAAGTCAGGCTGGGTCTACCCTGTCTACATCTTCAGTTTCATTTCTCTTCTTCGAATGATACTGACTCCCCGGAACCCGCTTCTGAATTCCCTGGGCATCGTGCTCCAGGATCTACCCTTTATCTTTGTTAGACTTAGTTTAATCATTGGCCTGGGAACGATCACACCCATCTTGGGCCTTTGTAAAAATGTACTCGTGACTCTCTCTTATGCTTACTTCAATTACTTAACCAAATTCAGGATTTTCTCTCCCTTTGAGATATCTTTTTAACAAGGAAATGTCCCATAGTCAAACCTCTTTGTTATGCACATGCATGCATTTGTAATCTTTTTGGGGGGCAGGGATAAGTTTTTGTGATATAGGAAGAAATGAAGAATAGATGCTAGAGAAAAAAACTATTTTTAAAAACTGTAGCATGTCAATTTTAAAAATGTATACAAATGGTGTGAAATTTAAGCAAAGTTATAGTCTTCTAAGTTGGTTCCCCTGGATCTCTAGAAAATGTTAATAGTTAATTTTAGTTACGTATTCTGCACTTTTTCTAAAAGCACCCTTCAATAAAGCCTCTTAAAAATTAGAACATGTTTTCCCACTAAGTAAGCCCAAGAATGAAATTTTTTTATTGTTTATATAAAGTGCATCACAAGAATTAATTAGTTAAAATTAATTTTAGGAAATACACTTGTAATTATGGAATAATGTTTAGATTCTTTAAAAACATTTGAATTGTAGTTTTAGGGTCTCCTTCAAATATGGAATTATGCTCTTTATTCTGCTGTGGCAAGCGACTTTTATGTAATCAATTGATTTCAGCATAGAAAGCAGTAAATTTAGTTTCAGACATTTGACTCAGTTTAATATAATGAAGTCAAAGTACACCAGTAAGACCTAGATAAAGTTTTATAATAGGAAGCCATTAATTGAAGAGGGAGATTTCAAAGTAAAAGAATATCTCATTTGTGGAATTGGATACCATCATGAAAACAGTCAGGTACAAGCCCTGTTTAAAATTAGAAGTTCAACTTACAGATATAACAGCAAATGCATTAGTGTCTTATGTGATAATAAATAATGGTTATCCTGATATTAAATAATTAGATACAGAATTATGCGATTTGCTTTCATATGTTGGGATGCTCTCAGATACTCATAGCAGGGGCTATCCATTCTGCATACATTTTCAGATGCTAGAAAGATTTCTGAGAGGCTTATGTGTGCAGAGTAATGTTTAACATAGGCATTCTCTGCAGTGATCTGTGATAACAAATAGCCTAAAGAATGGATAACTGAACTTGCCTGCCACTCCACCAAATCCCCCAATCTCACTCTCCCCTTATGCTTTATGATCTTTCCTTACACCATAAGAGGATATCTATTCACAGTTGTTGAAAGCTTAGCTTCTGGCTTTATGACTTGGGGCAAAATCTTTGACTACTGTAAACCCCAGTTTCCACATCTAAAAGATGAGCATATTACTAATACTTTAATAGGGTTAAATAGTACTTTATAGGATTGAGAGGATTAACCAAGATAGGGAATGTTCTTATTACATTGTCTGGCGAACTATAATAACCCAATGAATACTAAGTATTTTAATTGTACCCTGTAGAGAAACAGGTAGCTTAAAGCATTGTTTAAATTTTCCTGTTTTATTCTTTTCTGTTTTCTACTTACTCTCTGGGAATAATAATTTAAATCATGCATTTGTGAAAAGTAAAATATAAAATCTTCAGATTACCTCAGACCATAGTTTTTCATCAAGTAGTATTATGTCCAGAAGTGAGTAATCTACGGAATATACAGATTAAAGTTGAAGTATATAAGTATTCATTCATCAGGCATTGGAGTGTCCCTCTTACGGGTTCTCATAGAACCCTAACTATAGCACTTTTTTAAGACGTTCATTATGTGTTTTATTTTTCTGAGTTCCCCATTAATCTTTAAATTCCTTAAAGAAAGGCCCGAGGATATCTTGTTTAACAATGTATCTTTATCTTCTTCTGTCAATCCCACAGAAACTTACAATACTTATAATTCTAAAAAAATTATCATATAAATAATTTCTTTCAAGTCATACCATGATAATCTTCTTTATGAAGAAGAATTTATAACCAAATAGTTGACTCTAATATTCTTAAATGTGAAAATATTTTACATACATTTATATTTATCTTTGTATTGGAATTTATAGAGTGAACAATACTCAGATAAGCTGAACAATGCTCAGATAAGCTTTTTTTTTTTTTTTTTTTTTTTTTTTT